TGACATATAACATGATTGTGGAATGTGAAGTGAGGTCATATGGACATTCTTTCGCGTAACTAAATGACATTCATCGCATATAATAGAAGAAGTCCCACTGATGATAATCCCACCTTAATATACCGAATAAATAATAATGATGGATATTATCAAAGTGTTGATCAATTAATTTAAAAATTTAATTTACCATCGAAGGAATATCTGACCCTAGTAAAAAAAACTGACCTTTTTCCTGGTTCATGAAAGTATGACGATACTTCTTTAAACAAAAAAGTCACGAATGTGCAATAGTAGCTTGCACTATTAAAGGATTTCCAACCTGTCACTTACACAAATTAGCGTAGCTTCGAAAGGAACAAACACACATTTGCAACCATAAATATAGATGGCGCTGTTTGACGAATCAATAAATATACGTTAGCAAATTGTTCACTTTTCATGATATTCAAATTTTGAAACATAAAAATTTCATAAAAAAACAAAAATTGGTTTCGAACATTTGAAAATAACAGATGTAGTGAGCACAGTTAAACTGTACAATAGATTGATAATACATTGTTAACGTTGGAAAGTAAAACTGGATATTCAAAACGCCGTTATCACTGTTTGCCCAGTCAGTTCTTCTTCTGTTGTACTCGGAAAATGTGCAAAAATAAAAATGGAGCATTGATCCACCAATATCGAGAAGGATGAACTCTAACATTCCGCTGTGCAAGTATAAAAAGCGCTGTTGTTAGATTTTCAACCATTAATGATTCCGCATTCTTTTTTTTCCTTTAGTGATATTGCGTTTGTCAGTGAAAATTTTGTGCGCTAATGTTGATCTTTCTCAACACTGCTTCAGAACTTAGTCACTCTGAACGTTTAATGCATTGTTTAAATTTGCTGTAATACAATGAATTGTAAGATCAACATGCCGAGTACTTATCCTGGTAACTTGCCGGATGACATTTACCTGATCATTACTATATTATATGAAGTGAGAACTCCAATTCGATAATGAAAGCTGATTTAAATGTTAATTTTTAGAAGTATTTTGTGAATGCTATTTTTGTGAATGTCATGAATTCTTCTTCTCATTGTCTGTCTCAGTCAGCTCTTCGTCTGCTGCACTCGAGAAATGTGGAATGTAGAGCATTGAACCACAAATATTGAGCAGGATATACTCCCAAGATTCCGCTGCGGAAGTATAAAAAGCGCTGTTGTTAAGTCATCAACCATTGAGCGTTTCGTCATTTTTTTCTTCTTTTAGTGTTTAAAAAAATACTCATAGACACTCTTTAACATCGTCTATTAGTGAAGATTTCGTGACGATCATTCTGGACACTACTTCAGAATACATTGGCTCTTAATGACATATTGTTCAAGAATAAATTTACTGTATTATAACGAATTATAAGATTAACATGCAGAGTACTTACCATGGCAGCGTCCCTTATCGCATGACATTCCATTCAATCATTATTATCCTATATGACGTGAAAGCTCGAATTCAATAATAAAAGCTGATTCAAATAATAATTTTCTAAAGCCTTTTGCGGCTCCTATTTTTTCAAATGTCATAAAATGGATTTGAAGAATCTTGTCAACACCAATAGATTATAGAAGATACATATACCAAGTTTTGGTTGAATCGATTGCTAAGAATAATAACCGATCAGAGATCAATCGGTTTCAATGAAACTTAAAGTAATAACAAGCGGAAACGTAATTGTTTCACTCACAGTTCCAAAATACATTAACCGTAAAAGGAAATAAAACTTTGTTAATAAAATGAGGAATTTTTCAAATTTTCGCTGTTTGTTAACTTCCCATTTCTAATGTCTTAAAAATATGTCATTAAGCGCTTAATGGCTGCTATTTTTCAATAAAGCAAAGCTTGTCTTTAGAAATTATAATACAAACGAATTTAAATATGGCAAAGTTGATAGTATACATTGCATTTTTAATCTGCTGCCAAGCTCCCAACGCACCTCAAGCGCCAGTACCAGGAAATGTACAAGGTATATATTTCATCTTTTTATCTTTCTGATTTCCCACCCAATAGAATATAAATCTGCTATGTATAATACTGTATTTTGCATCATTCCAGCTTTTTTATTTGGGATTCCACGTAAAATAACATTTGATGGCAGAAGTAATTTCAGTGGTACTTGCATCAGCTCAAATACCACTGACCTTACTTCTACGGTAGAGAAAACGAGAGTTACTTTATTACTTTAGTACTTTTGACGGAAAAAATCTGAAAAGTAGAAAACACAATTCCTCATTGTTATGGGCTGATAAACTAAGACGATAGTAATAATCATTCCAGATCTCGAAGGTACCACCTTGTTCAATGACTTTTAAGAGACAGCTGTGCCATTAATTTTAGGTGTGGAGATTACCACAGATTACAAAGCTGATAAATTATGGGACGATTATTGTCGATCAACAGCGACAACAAATGTGAAAGAATGTTAGTTCATACAGAACTGTCTTAATAATATTATTTAATGGTNAGTGACTAA